TTGGCATTAGGATACATGTCGGAAGCTCAGCTCTGCCACACTAGGTGTGTGACCAAGGCCAGTGACAACCTTTTGGGGTCTCAGCAACTTCTATAAAACAAGGCTAGTGAAAGCCACCCCCATGGAGTTCTCATGCGGATTAAATTAAATGGTATATGTAAAGTGCTTAGTATGCAGTTCTTGGTTAATGGTAGTTGTTAATCATCCCATTTCTTATGATTATATAAAACAAGAAAAAGCTTGGAGAGCAAGGACATTTACTCTGGCATTTTTTGTATTAGTGAAAACCTGGGACTATCTACAGATCCAATGTGAGGGACGTGGCTAGACAGACCACACAGTGGGATCTTCTGTAGTCCTGAATAACAGACATTATAAGGATATGGGGCAAGTTCATAAGATGGGATATTGCAAGGAAGCCACAGCTCTGAAAAATACATACAGGAAAAAGCCTGGAAGAGAGTTTGCAGAAATGCTAATATAGTTAAAGCAGTGGGATTCAGAATGAACTTGTCTCTTTTCCCTAACTTCCAGATTGTCAGTAAGGTTATTGGATTATTTATACAAACCAAGAAATTACTTGGGAAGAGCAGATTTTGCCTGGATCTGGCCAAAGAAGTAAGCAGGATGAGGGCTCGTGGGCTCCTGGTGGCTGGATGTGGACCACTCTTACTTAGTATAATGAAACTGCAGGCACCAGCCCGTAGCCCGCCAAGACCCCTGTGACAGGAGGGTGCGCTGTGCCTCTCCCATTAGCAGTGAGACAAAGGTATGCAGAGGAGCTCAGGCTGTGCAGCTCGCCAGGACTGGGTGTATCTTGGATTCACACTGACTGCAGGCCCCTTAATCATTAAGACTCAGAAGGCAGCCCAGCCTTCCGGGTTGTTAGGAAGATTCAACAAGGTGGAGGCTGCATGTGACTTCTCTCCTCTGTACTCTCATTAGCTACTATCCAAGGCCCCCACTTCAGTGAATGAATGACAGGCAGCTTGGCAGAGATAGGCACCAAGGGACTAGCAGGTCACTGCCTGCCTTGGCCTCTGCACGCCATGTGTGGTCATTACTGAGCATATTGCTGCCTTTTAGAGCTTGCTATCAGCTCCTTCTTGGCATCAAGTTCACTGGGAAATTCCCCTATACCTGAAGCCGTAAGAAAAATAAGTTGGCACCTGGCAGCCATGTACACTGCACCTGGAACAACCACAGCCTCCCTTTAATAGGTGGGAAGCTGTGACCCTCACCATGCCTACTGCAGCCACCTTCATCCTCACCACTCAAGTAGCTGGCAGTCATGATTAGGTTCTTCGCAAAAATCCCGAGATGCATTACAAAGTGTGAGATGTCTCTCATCAGACAGCTGATCCCAACATTTTCCAGCCCTGAGACCTTGGGCAAGGTACTGAAAGTCTTCTTCTGAGCCTCAGTTTCTTTATCTATTAAATGGGAAAGCCACCACATACCCATCACAGTCTTTAAGAGATGTTCAGTAAATGTTGCTTTGCCTTTCTCCCCTAGGTAGAAACTCTCAGGCACCAGTGGACACTGCTTCTTTGGCAGGAACAGGACAGAGCAGCTCCAGTTTCCAACTCCAGGGAACCAGACAGGAAGGGTGGTGTGTGGGGCAAGTCACCTTAGGACACAGAGCTGTCCCTCTCGGCAAAGCCAGACGAACAACAGACTCCCCTGGACAGCAGAATGCAGTTGAGAGCATAAAATCAAGCAGCAACTGGGTCCTGGCGCCGCTGTTTTCTAACTGGTTGGCCCTGGAACACTTGTCAAATACATTGTCTGAGCCCGAGTTCCTGCTCTGGTGGAAAGGGAAACGAATGCCAGCCTAAGAGGTCTGAGAACATGAGAGTTCGACTGCTCTTGCTGCCAGCTGGCCTCTGACCCCGGGCCTGTGCTGCCCGATCCCTCCTGACCCTAACTCGTACCCTTGGGAATTCTCAGGGCGTGCCAGCAGCTCTGTTCTGAATCATAATGGAAGTAGCTAATAATACTTATTGAGGAGACATAGTCACTGAATATTAATTAGAAAATGTTAACTAAAAGCCAGAGGGAATGTTTCCCCGATATTTTTCTGAAGTATTCTTCCAATTGCCTTCAAAGGTTTTGAGCAGCTAGGACACCTACCTTTGATTCAGGAGAAAAGTTTGACATAGGAAAATTTCGTTTGGGAAAATCCAAGTCAACGAGAATTGGCATGGGGATTCTCCCTTCAGGCCTCCTTAAAATCCTAAGTAGCTTGCACCTAGTAGGTTTTCGAAGATATTTGCTGAATGAATGAATGGATGCATGGATGGACAGGTGGACATCACGTGGAAAGGAAGAAACAGATTTCAGTGGATGGGCTGGCCAATGATGGCCATGCTACCGGATCCCGATGAGTCCCAAATGCTGAACTGCTGCAGGAAGCCAGAGACACTATCTTATTCTTCATCAGCTCCATCTTGCTGTCCACAAACTGAATTCTTTAATGTGCTACTTGGAAGTGAGAGCTGGTGCAAGAAGTCAGGAGGACTGAATCCCTCCCTCACCTTTAAAGATCCTGTAGCTCTTTCTACTGCCCTATTCCTCTAAGTTTTGGATGCACTTTAATATTCCCAGCAGAGACAAAGATTCACGATTCAGGAAAATCCAGCCCAGATTAAAGGGCCAGGCACTGAGTCTGTGTGCCCAACGTGGAACCACCTGCACCAAAGGCCCATTAGGATCTGGCTCCTGCATGCCGGCTTGTCTTCTTGCGTCCCCCAGCACAATGCTGACAGATTGGTGGAGTTGGTTTCTTTCCCCCCAAAACAATATTTTATGAGGAGTCTGTTTTATTAAAATATTTTCCGCTGGATGCTTCCTGTGTTTCAAGAACTTGGTCTTGCCAGCTGGAGCTGATGACAGTTGAGAAAAACACATCCAAGTGCTGCTGTGACATGGCATTTGGAAGTGGAGGAGCACAGTGGGGGTGGGGGGGTAACATGCAGCATGGGAAGAGATACAGGAAGACACCCATGTCATTGTCAGAAATGTCATTGTTATTATAGCAGAATAGCCCCTCGTCCCGAGTTAAAAAATGTGAACAGAAACTCTTAGAATAGTATCTCAAAATGCACCTCTTTTTCTCCTGGTGGACTGTGATGGTCACAGAGAACCTGTCACTTGTTTTCTATCACTGCCAGTTGGCTGACCCACTAAACTAGCCCTATGCTCCCACTGCTCATTTCAACCCCAAATCCCAGACAGAAATCTAAACCAAGGCATACTGCACACAGAAATGAAGAGTCCTACTGACACCGTCCTGTAACAACCAGGATGATGTAATTACCGGACACTGGATCTCTGGCAAACACTAAAGAGGCACCCCCTCACTGGGCAGAAAAGCAACAGTGGAAATAAATGCGATTAGAAAGTCCAGCTTCTAATCAGGAACCTGGACACAAAAGGGGTAACTATTTTCTGCAGAATGTGGAGTGTTGCTGGTTTGGGGTGTTTTGTGCAATGCAAGGATTTCTGGTTTGCATTTCAATATCCCAGGCCTGTGACCCTGTATCCCAGTACAGTGTCTAAAAGATTTGGACCAGTTTTAAAGATGTGGGTTTAAGAAAAGTGACTGATTTCAGGTCCCCTAAGGAGAAATCTTTGGGGTCTGAGGAAGTCTGAGGCCATGCAGCATTTTCTCCACAAGGGGGCAATCATAATCCATGCCAGACACAGCTGGGAACTATTCCTCAAAATTCCCACTGTCCTATTGTGCAGAGCAAAAGTTAAACCTACACCAACTTCAGAAGTCCTCTCTTCAAATTCTGCATAGCCAAGCATCTCCCAAGATGCATGCACACACATGTATACCACAGTCTTGCACAGCTTTCTGGGTAAGGCTTGAGGGGCCTAGTGGGCTCTGTAACAGAGGTCGCGGTAACACAGCAAGAGAATCCCAGAAGAAGTGAATACTGCAAGCTGGCTTAGGCCACAACTTGACATTTTGGAATGGTTTCTTCCTCTGGCTTCTTTTCTGGCCAGAGCCTGCCATCTCCTCTACCTTTATTCCCTGATAGCTTTCCTGAAAATAGAGCAGACATGAGGAACATCCCCCTCTTCAGTCAGGGGACTGTGCGGTCCCTGGGGCCATGCTTTGGTTCCCTAGACTCAGATGGATGTGTACACTTCTTCAAGGCAAAGCAGGAAGCCAGTATATAGCTGCTGAATTGTCTGAGAAGAGCCCACGGGCTGTGTGCTTTGGGGACAAAAAGAAGCACTGAATCCCTCTGATGGAAGCACTGCTACCTTGTCCAGAAGGTTCTGGAGCTGAGGCTGTGTGCAGCTATAAGCCTTACCCTATTCAGGCAGCTCAACCTCTGGCCACAGCTTCACACGTGCCTCATCACTTACCTCATCCATCCAATACCTACCCAGCAAGTGACCCCAAGCCAGGTCCTATGCTGGGTGCCAGGCATAAAACCCAGCATCTGCCCTGAGGAGCTCTGGGCCCAATGGGAGGCAGAAAAGCAACACCATGATAAAATAAATGCTATGGCACAGGTGAGCAAGGTACTGGTGAGGTGGGGCAGGGTAAGCACAGTTCTGTGTATAAATCTGTGTTCTAGAGATTTGGAGCACCCCAGGCCTAGGAAGGTGGTTGCCCTTTAGTCAAACAGTTGTCTCCTTGACCAGAGTCCTAACTCTCTCCTGCTGATGCTGTATCTTTAGCATAAGAGGAGGCCTGGAACCTTCTTCTGAGCCTGTGCAAGTACCCTTTGGACATCACCACTCAAAACCCAGCCCAGGTGCCTGGCTCCCTGGCCTCTGGGGCCTCCTGCTGGTGTGACAACTGCTAGCAGAAGCTGACACTGAAGATCAAGTCTTGCTCCCGACTGACCTCTTTATCAAACACCTGCTCAGGAATCCAGGGAAGTCTTTCAAAGGCAGGGGCTGCAGCGTGGGCACCACAAAGCACTGGACCCACTGGCTTTCTGCAGGCAGAGGGGAGGAAAGCAACGGGTACTCACTGCTCAGGGCTTGGGACGGACGTCCTCCGGCCTTCCACCATGATGTTGCTCTTGGGTCTCTTGACAACATGCGGACGGGGAGGGCGCACCTAGAATGGGCACAGGGGAAAATCCACAAGGAGTGAGTTGGAAAAGCCATACAGGAACATTCTGAAGATTCAAATAAGTGGCCCTAAATGTTGAATGATTTTCATGGTGCAGGTGACAGACAAAGGCTCTCCTTATTAGGAAAACAGTTCCGTTGAATTTGCAGCAGACGTGTAAATCAGAATTCTGTGGCCTATCAAATGGGAAGGGTTCCTCTAAATGGTTTCCTCAACTTCAAGTCTGGGGATAGTTCCGACTGCCTACTCATGGCAGGGTGGCCGTGCGGGTTCAAAGAGATCTGTCTACATAGGCCCCGGAGCAAAGAGGCCCTTGTCGGTCCACACTCACCTTCATCTAGAACCCAGAAACCACTTTGGTAGAATGAAAAGGTTTCATTCTCACTTAATTTTTAAGCATACACAAGCTTATTTTGTTTTTTTACAACTGAATTACAGGATCTTATTTTCCTCCTTGAGTGGGAGGGGGAAAAGAGCAAATAATAGCCCTAGAGAGTACCAATAAAACCATCCTTCTGTGCCCGTGCGGTCCTCCTGAGCCGAGCTCAGCCAGCACACCACCTGGTGTGGCTTTGGCACCCGCCGCGGACCTAGCCTGCAGGCCGGCAGTCTGTGCGTCTGACGGTGGAGTACATGGCTCTCCAGCCAACAGCGGGGCTGCAGTGGCACAAGGCTTTTTTTCTTTCTGACCTGCTGCCTCTGAAAGCAAGGATGAGGGCCCCAAAATGCACCTTCCCTCCCACACACACCAGAGCGCATGGTGGGGGTTAGGCTAAGGAATTCTAGGTGCCCTCAGAAGGACACTCATTTGGTCCCGTCAACATTACATGGCTTTAGATTTGGCACCATCGCCTCTGAACACTTCCAGTGCCAGAGAGGGGCTGGTGAGAGCTAAGCTAAGAAAGTCTTTCTGTGCATTTCGTTGCCAATAAAAATGATTAAACATCCCAGTGCAGGGGGGTTTGCTCTCTGCAGATGAGGGACTACAGAGGAAATGCCACAATTGCTGAGGTTCTCAGACAAGACAGGGGAGGAGAGCACCGCACGCTCCACTTCCTGCCTGCCCTCTTTCCTGAACATCCTCTCCCTGCACTGGCAATTTGTGGGCGACACAGCACAGTGGCTTAGGAACACAGATTACAGAAGTTGGCTGCATAAAAAACAAATCTTTATATAGAGTCTCATCAAGCCCTCAGGTCTCTGCATGTCTTATCTAGCCAAAGTTTTTCCTGTGGAGTGGCCAGTCTGATCTCAGCCCTGTTTGGCAAGTCAGAGATGTGGCAAAAGCCAAATGCATTCCAACAAGCTAGCTGCCTTCTTCTCTGGGGTTACTGTGAAGGTCCAAGAGGTGGTGCGGGGGAAGTGCCAGCATGGTGGCTGGCACAAAGTGAGGGCTCAAAAAATGCTCACCTTGCTTCTCAGTGACCGTAGCAATAACAAAAGGAAGACAAGGGTGGGGTGTCTCTGAATTGAAAATGTTGTCTATGATCATCTTACCCTGGCCAAGTGTCCTGCTCAGTGTCTGGTTTTATAGCGGTCACTCAGCAAGATTTTTAGAAACAAATGAATACTGCTGCCTGGCATCTAGGCAGTGCATAATAATGTCGCTATTACTCTCCTTGTCATTGGCACGGTGCCTGCCACAAAGCAGACATCCAGTTGCCATTTGCTGAAGAAACACGGATGGATCATCCCCTACCTGTTCTAATTCTGAACTGGCTTCCTGGACCACAGCCAGATTCCTCTTGCTGCTGGTAAACAGCAGCACCTGGTGGGAATGCTCCCTCAGACTCCCCTGCACACAGGCAGTGTGCAGGTGGGGCGATGAGGCAGTTCTGCCCGGCCCCAGAGGTCCTGGGGTGGGGGTTTCGGGAAAGGTCAGACATTAAGGCCTGTCAGGGGTCCTTGCACACGGCTGCTGCTTGCTACAATAAAGGCGGGTTAGGAATGTGAACTTGTGGCTGAAATGGGGGGATTAAGTTTGTGGCAACTTCGACTGAACTTGCAACGTGGTGAAACATGGGGAAAAAGAACAACAGAGCTAATTAGACGAGCGGAGCTGTCAGAGTGCCGCTGAATGGCTCAGCGCCAACAAACAAAAGGAATGGGTTGGCAATCAGCAGGATCGATGGAGAAGACTGCTTCATTAGGGATGATAAAACAGACAGAGCTGGGAGAGGGGAGGGGTGGGGGAGGGGTGCAGGGCAGCAGCGAAGGCGGCGGAGGGAGAGGGAGGCCCAAGAGACCCAGAGACGGTCACAGACACACCCGGAGTCACACACACCTGATTGGTGTGGACAAAGCCAGATACAAAATTATACTCGCTAACAGACAACCATCTTGAGACACACACGGAGGCCTCGAGAAGCCAACATACACAGTCTCATAATGGTGTGGACAAAGCCAGATACAAAATTATACTCGCTAACAGACAACCATCTTGAGACACACACGGAGGCCTCGAGAAGCCAACATACACAGTCTCATAAATATACACTCACAGAGGCCTGCACAAGAGTAGAAGGCATGTGCACGAATCACACACACACACACACACACACACACACACACACACACACACACAGCCACAGACGTACAGCTAGAGCTGCAACCAGACACAGACACACACAGACAAAATGGTTTAATTAAGCCCAAATCACAAGATGATGCAGACAACAGGCCCGTCATATTTCAGTGATCACACCCATCTTTCTGGGGTGCTTAGGAAGGGTGGGGGCTTGGGATGAGAGAAGAAACCACACGCACACACAACAGTGACTGGCCCCACTGGCGTTAACATCCCAGCAGCGCCAGGGGAGAAATGCAAAACAGGGATTTTGAGCTCTTTTCAAGGGGGACTTGAGGGGAAAGTTGGGAAACCAGCCAATTCCCCACTGGATTTAAAACCTGAGAAATCTAAGTTGGCAGGGTTAAATGTGTATTGAATACAAAAGCACCAAGTACATTTGATTTTAATGGTGAGCAAGAAATAATAAATACAGAGCTTATAAAGCGCTTCGCATGCGGCCGACCACAGCCTGCCTCTCCTCTGCATGCCCCAACCCACTCCCCTCAGTCCACGAGACACTGGCAAAGCTTTCTTCTGCTCTTTCCTTTTTCTTCTTTTTAAAAAGAAAATCTAAATCCTCCAGTAACATCTGAACTCTAGCCACAGGTGCCAGACTACAATGCTCCTTCCAGAAAGGCTGAATTGAATGGCTAGCCCCCATGCTCCTGCCACCCTGGGCCAGCAGCCCCACTTCTGCCCAGAACGTTTGCAGCCAAGTGACCCAGCCAAGCCTAGCTGGGGCCTGTGGCTGCTGACATAGGAACTTCTCAGGCAGTCCTTCCTGATGCCCTTGAGGGGATTCCATACCTCATTGTCTCCCAGGTTCACCTCTGGTGTGCTGGGGACTGCAGGGCCCAGAAAACACACACCTTCCAGGACTCCCAAATTAGTCTCACAGTGATCCTGCTTGGCAGAAGGTATTTAGGTTGCAGAAGTGGAATATATGTGTCCACTTTATGCCAGGGACTGTGCTAGGCACTACACACATATAACTTCATTACCCTCCCCAGGTACGTATTACTAAACTCATTTTACAGATGATGAAACTAAGACTCAGAGAAGGTAAGCATCTTGCCCAAGGTCACACACCCAGGAAGTGGCAAAGCTGTGATTCAGACCAGGGCAGGCCTGTCTGACTTCCAAGCCCAGGAAAAATGGTTCTACTAGGCACCTTGCCTCCTCAAGCACAGGGCGGTGGTGGTGGTGGGGAAGCAGTGTTGCAGCCCCGAGTGTCAGGCTAGTCACCTCCTGCACCAGCGCAGGCAGCGAAGGCTTCCCCTGATACTCAGGTTTTTCTCAAGGCATTACCTGCTTCCTCAAGTCCTCAGTTGCTAGTGAGTATGGCCAGGCATCCCTAACCTGCTTGATGCCTCACACTGGCAAGACAACATGCAGTCCATGGTGGCTCTCTCCAATATCTGAGTTTTTCCAAGGGAGCAATCCTGCCCGAGATTATGCTTTCTAAGAGAGCCCCTGCCTGTGTTGGATGCCAGGGAATTCTGAGAGCTACCCACTGGATGACTCTGGCTTAAGGAGAGGCTGCTTGGTGAGGAGCAAGGAGAGGCAGTGCAGACAGGAGGCCTGGGCTCAGAGGCTAGCTGGAACTCTCACCATCTCTGCAGTCTGGGCTGCAAATCAGGGAAATGCAATCTTCCTCCTTCACAATGAGATAATAATTTTTCAAGTGTCCAGCACAGTTGTAGGCACATAGAAGGTGCTAAATGTTAATTCTCTTTACTCCTGTATTCCTGCCAAGACCTAACACTGCCTAGAGATTCCATAGCAAGCCCAGCTGGTTGCTGATTATTTTTCTTCCTCAACCAAAGGCTCTGCCCCAGTACTTTATACTATGGTGGACTCCACAGAAACAGACATGGAGGGTCTGGGAAGCTTGGTATATGCTAGAAAGGCCATGGGGTCTAGAATCTAGTGACCCCTATGTACACTTGAGGGACTTGGGTTAAATGACCCAACATTGGTTTTTTCATCTCTAAAATGGGTAGAGATGATGCCTACTCCATGGAGTTCCCATGAGGCTCAGCTGGGATGATGTGCCTGGGAGTGATTTGCTGATGATAAAACTCCTGGGCAAATGATGGTTAAGAAACCAGATCATTCCTTAGAAGCTGTAAAGTTTAAAAACCTATTAAGAAAATTAAGAACCACTACTCTGTGCCAGATACTGTGCTAGGTGCGTTACAGATGTCATGTATGTCATCCTCACTGAAAACCTCTGATTGAGGGCATATCTGACTGAGGTGAGGCTCAGAGCTTTGGCACCACAGATCTGGTACTCAAACTTAGCCCTGTCTACTCTCCAAATCCATGCTGCTAACGACTGTACTAAGACTCTCACAAAATCATCTAGGGTTTGACCCAGCAGGGGCTTCTTGTCCCCCAAAGCAGCTTCTTTTTGCTGTCTATGCCTTCCTTCCAGTGACAGTGAACAGAAACATTCCAGCCCCTTGACAGCTGTGCTGACCTGGTTTGGGCTAATCAATGGTTTGACTGGGTACAGGATGCGGGATCTGTCCTGGAACCGGACTCACAACTGACACAGGTGAAGCCATCTAAGTCTCCCCAACCTCCACCCCGGACCTCTAACTCCCACGCACTATAGAGGAGGGAAGCAAAACAGCACCACAGAACTTCCCAGCATCCATACTGAGAGCAGCCACCAGACTGATGCTGAGTGTGTGCACAAGGCTCAGAAGCAGACACATTCAGCCTCACCACCTGCACCTCTCGGCTGCCACACCTTTTACAGGGTGGCTTTGGCCATGTGCACTGGAGAGGGCAGGAGGGGCTGGGATACGAGTTTGTGGGGGATTCTAATTTCAGCTGGGTAGGCTGCAGGAGCAATGGCTGCTTTGAACAAGAGACAGAGACACTCTTCTCTTGGTAAACAGCCCTCACCAAATGGTCAGCAAGTTCCCCACTTTAAAGGAACCTGCCAAAGTTGTTAGGCCTCAGCATGGCCAGAGTCTGAACTTTCCAGGAAAATGGGGGCCCACACCGATTCTTTCCACGGCATTTCTCTTTAGAACACGTGCGTGGGTCTCTCCCTCGCCTACCCCATTCCCAGTTGGTGGGGGTTTAGAGCCTCTGATCCGGCTTTTCCCCCTTACTTGGCACTTCACTTGGGAAGGTGGGGCTCCATGTGGGGCCTGGAAGAGGAGGAGTACCTGTCTCCATCGGAGCCAGCTCGATATTCTCTGGGCGTAGCCTCTGCCCTCTGGAAAGGACATCAAATGCATTTCCAAACCACGATCTGGCGGGAAATAGACCCCTGCTGCCAGACTTTGCTTCCTTTGTGAGGAAGAGGTGGTTGGAGCAAGGCTTTACAGCTCATTGGTTAGGAATCCGACTCAGCCTGGGAGATATGCTCAAATGATGCACACACGGCAAACACACCACACGGTGGCCCCTGGCTGCCTACAGCTCTGACCTGCAAGTCACAGAACTGAGGCAGAAAAAGGAGAGAGAAGCCCAGAAAATGCAAGTCTGGGTTCATGCCACATAGAAGGGGAAGCTGAAAAACCCAATTCCCAGTTTCCTTTTGCAAGGCAGCCGAATTCAGACTCCCGAGGTTTAGTCAGGCGGGGGAGAACGGCTCAGGCAGTGTTAGGCGGGGGGCAGAACCACCGGCTACTCACGGGCCTCGAGCGCTGTATCTTGGGAGGCGGCGGGCGAGTGGGACGGAGTCTTTGTAGCTGCATTAAAGTGAAACTTATAACATCAGTACACATGGAGATGGTTCGACGCATTTCCACACATGGCACATGAGAGAAGGCACCCAGTCACCCAGGCCAGAGCCTGAGGGCCATGCATGGCGCCCCCCTGCTCCCTCTCTCCCATGCCCGAGGTCACTGAGTCCGGCCACTCTAATTTTTTGTTCTAGTCTCGCCCTGTAATCATCTCCCAAGAGGGCCCCCTGTCTGGATCTCCTCTGGTCACTCTCCACAGAGACCAAGGGGCATCTCCTAAAATGCAGTATGGCTGTACCACACCCCCACCTTCAAAACCTCGGCTTACTCTCCCTGCACCTTGGGTGACTGCACAACAAGGCCCTGGGCTGGCACTCCAAATCCTCCCAGATCAGGGCTCTGCTGCGCCCCACACAGACCCCTCCCGAACTCCACCCATATGCACCTGGGCAGCCCCTCAAATGGCCCTGGGCTCTTTGGCCTTCTTTCTTGCGCCCCTCTGGGTGCAATGACCTACCCTGCCCTGTTGGCCTGACAGATGTTTACTTGTCCTTCAAGACTCTGCCGAGGTCAGCTGCTACCTTCAGGACTCCTTGCTGCAAGGGACTTGTCACCCAGTATCTGCCTCCGTCCACTGAACATACTACCTTTCAAATGTTTGTTTCCTTGACGGATTCATCCCTGTTCCTTGGAAAATATATCTGCTCAATAAATGTCTGATGAACAAAAAGTTTGTACAAAATGCTTGGCTTCTGAAATCAGGATTTGAATGAAAACCACCAGGGCACAGATTTTTTTTGTCTCTATACTCTCAAACCTTTTATCTTGAAAGTCAAGCTTTGGCCTTTCAATAGTCTTCCCATCTAGATTCCCTGGACAGGTGTGGGAGTTGGGTAGGCAGAGTAAGGAAACTAAAAATCCACACTAGACCAAGACCACGGACCCTCAGCAAACCTTGGGAGGCTTCCAGTCGGATCCTGCCCATTCAGCCACCCAGCTCACAAAGGTACATCATTATTTGACAAGGTCAAGACCTGCACTGTCCACTACAGGAGTCAATGACCACATGTGGTGAGTCCGAATTAAGATGTGCTTGAAGTACAAAATACACACTGGATTTCAGAGACTTAGTTTGCAAGGAGAATGAAAAAAATCTCATTAATAATTTTTTAATATTGGTTACTTGTTAAAAGGAATATATTTTGGAGTATTTGGGTTAAGGATGTTAAAATTAATCTCTCCTGTTTCTTCTTACTTTTTTCATGCAGTTACTAAGACATTTAGGATTCCCTGTGTGACTTGTGTGCTCGGCTCCCATTACACTTCTCTTGGATGGTCCTTTCGCATTACACTTGGAGCGATTCTTCAGATATCCGACAAGCCTGAGAACTCCCGAGTGGACTCCTGAAGAGGAGGGGCTGTGTCTCAGAGCTGCCTGGGCCCCCGGTGCCCAGCAACAGGGTGTGACAGAGTGGCCTGAGGGAAGGTTGGAGGAGGAACTCCATGGAGCCCTGGGGTCCCTTATGGCACATCCTGAGCACGTCTAGATGCAAATACACTGCAGTTTCCCAGACCCTGTGCATTAGCTGGGAGTGAGGGCCAACCCCTGCTCTGGCTCTTCTCCAGCTGGAGGGTATTTGGGGTTGTGGATGCCACCCAATAAGATAAGCATGGTGTTTCTTTCCCTTCAGGGCTCACAAAAATGTGTGGGGCAAGGAGGGATGGAGCCTATGAACTCACAGTGCTCATCAGGAAAGCAGGACAGGGAGAAGTGAGCCCCTCCACAGGTACACAGGCTGCTGTGCTGATCCACACACCCCACCCTCCATCCTCCACTCTCTACTTCCCAGAAACCGCCTTCTCTAGGCCTACAGACCTCACCACCTGTCACCTCTGACTTGGCCATTTCCATCCCTGCTGGCAGGGGTGGCAGAGTGTTCAGGAGGCGGCCTCTGGGATCAGACAGTGTCAGACTAAACCCCATTTCCTACAGGCCTGTGCTTTAGCCATCTGAGCATTACTCTCCTCATCTGTAAGTGCAGGTAATGGCTCACCAAGATCTGCCCACAGTGCCACCAGTAGATGTTAGCAACTATCACCATTAGTGAGTGTCCCTCCCTCCAGCCTCTCCCCTCCCAATCCATTTCCACACTTGTTCCAGGGCGGACTTGAAAAAATATATGCCCAATCATATCACTTGCCAGCTTAAATCATCTCAGTGGATGGTGGCATCTCCCAGGTGTTTTCTGAGAAACGCTATATTAGGAGATGCATTATATGAAGGAAGAAAAAGGGTTCCCCAGTCAGACAAGTCTGGGAAACGCTGTCTCTCTTGTTCCTTTTAGAGATTTGTAATGCTAGTTAGCACATCAAACGTTGCTAAGTCTTACAAAAAAAAAAAAAAAAACCCACCCTAAACAAGCAAAACTCTCATTCCTTTTTTCTTAAAAGTCCTGTTTCCCTAATTTCTTTGAACGCAGACTCATTTTCCCTAGAACATTCCCACTGATGTACCTTGGAGAATCCCACCTGAAATGTTCAAAGCTCTTCCGGACTCTGGGTCCCACCTGATGGGGCACAAATGTCCAAGTGCCACAGTCAGGGCCCTGCTGCCAGGAGTACTGCAGCACCTCCCATGGGCTCTGGGGAAGCACTGCTGTGAGGGTGAGCGGGTGTGGGAGGGGGCTAGGCCCCGGAGGCTGCAGATTCCCAAGCATGCTGGGGTGGGTGACAGGAGGGGACACAGGTTGGAGAGAGCTGAGTGCTCTGGGAACAGTTAGAACAAGCCACAGGGGGTGAGTGTTGGTGATCTGGGTAGAAAGAAGGGGTGAAGCCAGGGAAGGATCAACCCAACACACTGTTTTCCAGAACATGGCCCCAGAGCTCAGGAAGCCGAATCCAGGACTAACTGAATGTGGGTGCTATTAACAGTGTGATGTGGGGCCTTAGAGGACTGCAGAGCTGACCAGGACTTGGTGAAAGTCATCTGGGTGAGCCAGGAGGCCCCCACACTCCCTAAGGGTGGAGAACAGCTTGTTTGTCTCTGCACCCCCAGCCCATAGCCCAGGGCTGGCACCAGCTTGTTCCTATCTTCCCATGGCCCTTGTGGCAGAGAGCACATGTTTTTGTGGACAAGGAAGCAGACTGGAGAGAGGTAACGTGACCCACTCAAGGCCCCTGCTGGTAATGGGTTGTGCTGGAAGTGGGTCTTAGGCCTCTTGCCTGTGAATCCAAAGCTCTTCCCACTGCTGCAGGAGGTGGCAAAAGCAGAACCTTAAAGCAGAAGGGGCTGAGAGTTGGGAGGTCTGGGGCACATTTGCATAGAAATCACACAGAAATATGGGATCCTCAGTTCCCAGGCTGGACTGAAACGTGGCTATACTGATATGTTTGAGTTCCAAAAAGTCTAGGCCTTTGGTAACCTTTTGCTGAGAAGTGCAGTTCCACATTTATCTGGTGCTTCCGGAACTGGGCTGTGGCAGGAGGAATGGTGGGGCAGAAGGTTTCAGTGATCAACACAAGCACCTGCCTTTATGACGGTCATGTCTAGGTGGGGTGCAGATTCATTCTCACAGAGTAGAAGGACTCCTCCCATGTATATTCAGGGAATAACTACTTGGAGCCAGGGCCCTGGGAGTCAGAAGAATAAGACATAGTCTTTGGCCTAAAGAATTTTTGGTCAGGTGGGATTCAATTTACAACATGGAAAAATATCTTTTATAGAGTACAAAGAGTATTTGGGCTAAAACCCTAATAAACATACTTTGGGTTAGAAAGACATGGGTTCATGTCTTGGTCTGTCATTTTCTTCTTGAGTTCAGTACTAGCTCTGCCACTTGGGTGAGTTATTTAACTTGAGTGAGTCTCAGTTACCCTCCTGGGAAATGGAGTCACGTGCACTGCAGGAAGATGCTGGGAGTGCGACTGCAGCTGCGGGAGCCTCTGGCCAGGCACCGTGAGGATGAGACAGTACCATCCAATCCTGTTTCCATCGTAGGATCCACAGGTCTTCCCAGAAAGTCCTGTGGATGTGGGGACCTTGCCTTGGTTTCCCAAGGGTGTGTGTTGTCAGCAGGGCACTGTTGAAGGGGACTGGGTTTTAATAATAATCTCTTCTGTTTATATGACGCGTTTTCCTTTCAAAGTATTTCTACTTCTCTTCTTTCCTTTGAGCCTCACATCCCCTGGTGAAGCAGGTTAGAGGACGGTTATTTCCCTGCTATACAGATGGGAAGAGGGAGGCCCAGAGAGGTTAAGGGACTAGCATGAGGTCACACAGCTAGCAGCAGGAACTAACAGCAGCAGGTCTTCTTATTCCACTGCGCTATCCTTCTCAACGCAAATTTCCCAAGTCATCTGGAAATCCTTTATGATACACCTTTTTTCATCCCTTCTGAAGTTAAAATCTGTTAGAGATCTGTGCCTCAGAGAAAAGACTGGTAGAGAATGATTGACATCTTCCCCTGCCTTCCTTATCTGAGCATCTCTTTCTAGTGCTTTCCAAAGGTAGCACATGATTCATTTGTCATTCATTAACAGACAGTATACTCTGTATGGGCACCAGTGTACATCAGTGAACAAGACATCGTCCTGCCCTCAAAGGGCTCCCACTCTGATGGAAGGGGTTGTACTGCGGGGGACACGGGTGCTGAGGTCTGTGGAGGCACAAAGGAGAGGCTCTTCTACTATATGGGGGTGGTAGGGATTCAGGTGCATGGCACAGGGAACCATAGTGGTCCCCAGTGGTGAATATGAGGACGGGGCAGGTCAGGACTTCAGAAGGGCCGGCGGGGGGCCGGTCACATAATATAGGACCTTGAATGCCAGGCGTGGATTTCTCCTGAGTGCAGTGGCAGGGATGTAGTCAGGGAGGGACATATCAGAGGCCTTTGGGTCCTTAGTGTAGAAGATGGGTGGGCTTCCAGAGACAGACATTACCCTCCAACCACAGGGAAGAGGCTCATATATTGTCAAGCCACGGGACTGCTGGGAGATGGGAACATGAA